AAAAACGTTTAGAGCAATTTTGAACCACCTTTTTTAAGATAACTTAAAAACTGTTAAAGATAACTGAACTTTGTTTTCGCTCAGTTGTAATGCCAAATGTTTGTTACAACGTGTTCCTAACAAATTTCGTTTATTTATAGTGAGTTTATTGTTATAACAAATTTTTTGAAGGTAGATTTTTCATAAGTAATTTGGACCATGTTGGGCAATGTGGAACACTTTATTAATTTTGCAAAAAATAATTTTTCTCGCATTTTAAGGCATATTAATAATGAAATAGTATATAATAATTAATTATCAGATTATATATTTATTATATTCTAATTTATTATAAACTCTAATTTTTTTGTGTTTTTTTGTAACAAATATAACAAATATATGTAACATGTTTAAAACTTTTACTCATAATAATATATGTGTACTTATAATGTATACTCGTCGTAATATTATTACTCCTGAAAGAAAGAAACAATAAAATATAAAATGCAATACTTATAAAAAGTGCTATACAAACTATCTCAAAATTATCCGATATTGCTATTATTTTCACCTTTTTATTATTATACACAATAGAAATGTACATGTATGATTCTTGCTAAATAAACTACACTAAAGTTCTATCTATAGTTTTACATATACAACAAAAAGCGAATCTATACAAGAATAAGAATCTATGAAATAAATTGACTGCAAAATTAAGTTAATATATTAACCTTACGCAGTAAGCGTACACCCCATATCTTCAATTTCAATTATTATAACTTTATGACACGTTGTGCTGCGCTGCCGCTTTGTACGTTAAGTTAGAATGCCAGCAGCTAGTAATTACACTGCTGTCCACTAAGTTGTAACGCTTAATTATCTAAATATCGTAATGGTTCACATTGCCCGTGTGTCTCAAAATACCCAAACTTCCTCTAAACATTGGTCTATTATGTTCTTGTCTCATTACATTAAATTTGAAACTTTTTTTTTTTTTTAATTGAGAACGTACTCGACGTCCGGTAAAAACCGAAAGAATGCGATGGAGTGATGCGATCTAATTTCGCGGAATTGTCTTTATATCGTTCGCCCGCGATTCTTCTTCGCCTCTCTCTTTCGGCACCTCTCTCCCCCATTCCTAACCCCTTTCGCTATTCTTTTTTTTTTATCGCCGCAAGATGATTTCGTTCGGAAATTGGACGCGACGGACTGCCGTTAAGTGGCCTGCCGGGAGTAGTTTCATTCCGGAGCGAACCCGGTATTTGCGTTCGCGTGCGCGCGCGCGATCGCGCGAAATTTATCGCTGTCACGGCCTCGGAGCTCGGAGCATCGTAGAACTTCTCGTGCGTTTATCTGGCAATTCTCTCGTCGTGCGACACGTCGTTTTGGTTCCGCGAGCACATCCATAAATATTACGGCGTGAGTTTAATTAAATTAATTTACCCGATCGACGAGTCTTTAGTTCGTATTCTCGCCCCGCGTTTTAACGCTAAATACGGCCATCTTATTAGTGTAAGGGAATATATCTGCTTAATATGAAAATTACATTTGCACGCGAAACGGGGAGTGAAATAGCTAAATGTCTGGCGGGGTATTACGGGTATTTTTAACCCTTCATATTTCAAACTGCAATTGTAATTTCCATTGTAAATTGCAGTAATTAAAAATAAACAAAACATCTATCTCTATTCTTTTTTGAGAAAATATTAGATGTCCGCGATCGCGCGAGAGTCGCTTTAACGACGCGAAAAGAAAACGCAATGCACGAGAGATGAAAAACTTGTTTCGTCGGCCAGTTATACCGCAAAACGCTTTGCCGTATCTATGAGATAATATACATAGTTTAATTCGGCTTACCGTAACATCAGCGAACTTTCCGCGTACGCATCCCGCTAAACCAGCGAGCGCCTATTAATTACCATGCACCGTCTCTCCCGAACAAAATGCACACGAGTCATACGTTCGATAACGGGGATTATAGGCTAATTATTAGACCATTACACGTGGAGCATTTTAACGGCGAACAAAATGTTTAGTACACTGTTGGAAAATTTTTGTAGTTTTGTTAAAAAAGGTTCTTGTTAAAATTTTTATGTAAAATAATCAAAATATACATGTGTAGATTTAACATATATGCCTGCTGTGTTAATTAAACTTAACAAATTTAAAATGTAAAATAATTATTAAAATAATTTAAAAAATATATTAAAGTAACACAATTTGAATGTATTTATTAAATGTGTTAAAATTTACAGAAAAAGAATGTTGATTTTATTCTATGACAAAAGTGGGAATAAAAATTTACAGAAAAAGAGTGTTGATCTTAACTTCTACATAAAAGTTATGTTAATTGTACACATAATTAACCTCAAATTACGATCAGAATTACATTTCCTTTCTGTTGAAATATTTTAACATAGTATCGGTGTTATCATTTAACACATCCATATTATGTTAAATTAACACAAAAATTTGAATGGACCGTTTAGGACATGTGATTTATGTTATATTTGCATAATTAACACAAATTTTCCAACGGTGAAAAAAGGAAATTTATGAGATATAAATTTCCTCGCGTAAAATTGATGATGAATGACAATAAAAAGGCTTTACCCCTTGTGTATTATTCACGCATGAAATTATTGATCCGATAAAATTATTTCGACAAAAAATTTTGATTTTCGTAAAAAATGCGAAGAAAACCAAATGAAATCCGGGCAAAATTTATCGTCGCGATATCGGACTTTCAATTAGCCAATTAATTAAAAAAACACCGACCAGCCTGAGGATTATTTCGAAGTGGACTATCATCGGGAACGGGCGGTGGAGATTAGCGGTATTTCGCGGAAAGCTCTGTAACCCGATAACAGTCGCGACAGCAATAGCGGATTGCAAATATGTGAAGGGAGACGGAGCGAGAATGGGAGAGAGAATATGCCGGCATGATTCTCAATCGGTCGGTTTATTTAATTCAATTAAAATTCTTATTAAGTTCAAACACCGTCCACGACCGCGCCATATGATCAATGCAAATTGTGATTCGCGTATGCGACAGGGGTCACACACGTTCGCAATCGGCCGAATGCAGCGGGCGCCGCGCCGATTTCGGCCGTGGATTTACAGTACGCGATCATAGACACGCGCACGGACACGCACGTACGGGATTATGCGTTTCCATTGCCGAGGCTGTGATCCTGGAGAAATTCACTTTGATCCCTGAATAATTTCCCCCCCTCGATCCCTCGGTCTGACTCGGCGTCTCGTTTTCCCATCGGGAAAACCCCGGGAAAATGTTGCGGGCGAGCCATAGTCGGCGGATAGAATGCATGGAAGGAACTAGGGGGATAGCGAGGGAGTATCAGATAAGTAGTTCCGTATAGTACCAAAGGGTGTATCGTGTAACTCAATGTTTGAATGGCGGATCGTGTTCTAAGCCTGCTTTGGCCCTTTGTGTCGCGCGGCGCGCGTTTCGGAAAACTGCAGGCTACAGCGCAATTTTAGGCGCGCGGGCCGGCTGATCGTGCGCGCGGGCCGGGGCGTAAAGAGTGTAATTTTAAAAGCGCGTTTTTTAGAACGGTGTTACACGTCGGCCATTCGATACGCGATTGAAGGATCGGCTTTTCGAAATTGCGTTTCGGCGCGTTTGTTGACAGGAAAATCGCTAACGAGCTGGAAACAGCTGCCGAACAAAATATTCCCTGTGGGGATCGGGAAGCGATGACGTAACGAAGTGGCGCGGCTTTTATTAACCCGTCGGGGATCCTCATTGCTCCTTTTAGCGTGCACGCCTGTGAATAACTATCGCGCAATAAAACGTAATAGTTTTATTCACCAGATGTATATATGCTCCTAGGATGGCTCTTGAAAAATTTTAGGAAAGCCTTGTATCTTAATTGAGAAATATATTACATACTCTCTAAATCTCATAAAATTACATTTCACTCGTTTTAATGTGATATATTCCATGAACTCTTCGGCTTTTAGAGAGTACGATATATTTATTATATGATACCTACAAATTCACATCTAAAAGCTACATTAGTATTTAGAATAAAAAGAGCATTGCGACGTATATATCTAGGAGAAAATTAGCAAGTGTTTGTACACGGGATAATATCGTATGTACGGAAGTTGAATTGCAGCAGATCCAGTAACGTCCTACTAACGGCGCGATTTACGGGAGCTTGCGGCACGTTGTAACGCCGTATAATATAGTTGTAATTTCCCGTATCCGTTTTATACGTGGCAACGACACAACGCGTCGCATCGCGGCGCGATAATGCAGGAAATTGCGGGCGAGATGTTGCCGGGCCCTCGGCGAAATCCAAAGCCTTACCTTACACGTTACAGGTTACAGCGCGAACGATAATGGATGTGGCGAAGGGACGTGTAAGGAGTTATACGTCAGGGCTCCGCCGCCGTGCTAACTACTGACTGATTAATCTGCCTGGAATCGATTCGCAGGAGCTGTTGCGAGATTCATTTCGTCACCTATAGGCAGCTGCTCTCCTTACCATCCGTATAAAGACCTTTGCTACCGCGATTAAATGCACCGCTCACTCTTGACATCTCACAGAATGATTCAGAGGATGAACCGTTTAAAGAGAAGGGAAGTCAAAGTAGGAATTTCGTAACCGCGTATAAAGAGCGTCCCAAATATCTGACGAGATACTTTCATATTTTATCCCGATACAGAAAATATCTCATTTATTTTTCGGTCGTCTTATATTTTGTAAAATATATAGAATATAATATTAAAAGAATTGATCAATGTAAAAAAATACTAGCTGCATGTAAAGAAAAAGTTTGCTTATTGTTATTACATTGGTGTGTGCATGAAAAAATAAAGTTATCAATCTCTCGATTCTTTTTGTCATACCGTATATAAAAATATTAAATATTAAATATTATCGAAAAATGTATGTTTTACGAGATATTTCAGAACATACAGAATAAAATATGAAATATCTCCACTTATTTTCTGATAACCGTATCTTCAAATCTTTATATGAAAAACGATGAGGTAAATCGCCCCTATTTAAAAAAAAGAACGTACTTGATCACAGAATATTTTCCTCGAAATTATACAATTTTACTGGAAATGTTTTTCACGGAACCATCATGTTTCCGGGACATTTGTATATTTATTTCCTTCCTTGAGACACATCCTGTATAGAAGTATAAAGTATATACATATATAACGATATCTATTTATCAGGATAAAACAGAGCCCCGTCATAACACTCGGGTACTTTACCCGAACTTAACCATAGTAATCGAGGGTTGAAACGTCCCGTTGGATTACGGTGACTTCGAAGGATAAGCCGCCGCGAGAATTTTTCTCTCCCGCGCGAAACTTTCGCGCAAAGCCGTAAGTCGTTACGCGTGAGCATGTAAAAAGGTCGGAAAACTTATGCTACTTACCCGTACCATCGTCGAAGACGCCTGACTTCGTAAGGTGTGATTTACTGCCGGACGTTGGATGATGTTTGGACCAATGTGCCGCTCCGGCTGCATTAGTTAAAGTGTCTGAGAATTTATTGTCGGTAGAAAGAGAGAGAGAAAGAGAGAGCTAACTCTCTCGCTTGTAAGATGAAAAATATATGAGCAATGTCTATCTCTGTTTATCGTTGCGAAGTTGGATAATATCTTGATCAGTATATAGATACTGATTAGTTCATTGAAACTGATCGGTGTTCCACGGTAAGGCGAGAAACATAATATGCTATTTGCCGAGTTTTATTTCTGACTGAACGCAATATACTTCTAAGTATACGTTAGCAACTTGTATATAACAATGTACAAACAAGATCAGTCTTGAATTGTTATAAAATAATTTTAGATTGAATGTATTCTGTTCTTTGTAATTAAGAATTACGCTTGCACTTTGCGTTGCATTTCACGGGCTCGATTCGGCGACGCTTGCGTTATTTTCAATTTCAAAAAACTGGCATCTCATCTAACTTCTAGACAGATGGAAAAGTTGAAAGCAATGATATAAGATTTTTTAGTCTAATCAAAGTATTTATAAAGATTTAACAATCGCGTATAAATTTTCCCGAATTAAATAATTTATATAGTTAAAAGAACCACTCATCGATATATAAATGTCAAACGTTTAGTCTAATGCGATATACGCTTATATACATAAAATATTCACAGAACGAGATGATAATGTTCCATTTTTATTTAAATAATACTGTATATATGCTAATATACCTTCGCTATTCAAATAGATAATACCGCAATGCTATTCAGAGAGGAATAATATCCTGTCTGCGCAAGACACTGTTACGAGTCGATTTCTCCAAAGGATCAAATTGGAGAGCATTGACGGAGCGAGACGTCGTACGCGACAACGCATTTCTATTCCGCGCAAAGATGAGAGATCCCAGATTCTAATTAACCGAGATAAAGCATCGTTAATCCCGCCTTACGGAAATCACCTCGCGGGCAAGAGATTTAACCCACTTGGGACGAATCGCGTGCTTATTATTCTGGATCTCGAGGACTTCATCGTAATCGTCGGGGGTGAAATTTAAGCGCCCGTTGTAAGCGGCGTTTTCGCACGGGTAACAGCCGACGGGGGAAACCAGTCCCGGGTATACAGGTGAGGAATTTCCCCTCCGAGGACTCGTAACTAAAACATTAGAACCTTTTTCCACGGGCGGGAGAGGATTAACGCTGTTTAAAGCTGCAACAGCCAGCGTAAAACTTCTTGAAAAACTGCGGAGTATAAAAAACACTGTGTGTCTCGACGGTAAACAACAACTGGAATTTAATCCCTTCAATGTCGGGCATGTCGAGGGAAAAATCTCACTGCCGATGCTATCTCTGGGATTTTGTCTGTATTATCGTATAAAACAATGGAACTCCGATTTTACCTCAAAATTATCCTGATATATATTTTCTGTTCAACTTTACAGGGAAATGGGCAATTTCGGCTCGATGAAGCAAAAGTTTAACGTTCATTAGCTCAAAATCAATGTCTCATTGTCGGGAAAAAATTTTCTATCTCTCTCTCTTTCTCGTTTTCCCTCCCCTCTGCCACACTCAACTTACAATAATTCGTTAATTCAGAATTGTCTTTGAAGTTGTTAGGTCAGGAAGAGAATCGATATTATCTCCGCGATAAAAAGGATACTTGAGCTTTCGGTGCTTCTCCCGGAAGGGAGCTCGCGGCAGAGGGGATTCTTCAGAGTGGAGTCGGGGAGTGATGCAGGGACGGGGAGGGGGGAGGGGGGCGGTGCAGGGATAGGGTTTCTTCCACTTAAATCTGCAGCCGTAGAACAAAACTCGCAGATTCCTAAAGATCTCTTCGCCGAGTTTGACCCGGCCTCGAAACTTTGTTCGCGCTCGACGACTGGTAAGCGGGCTTTCCAGCTGAAGAAGCGAGTGTCCCCGAGTGCGCTGAATTCCACCACCGAAAAGTCTCCGCTTTGCCCCGCGCGCGCGCGAGAAAAAGCACGGAATCGCGCGATACTTTTCCCCGTCGTATACGAATGGAGAGGGAGAAATATATCTATGAAGATTACGTGGCGGCCGTGGCGCTCGAATGGCCAGGGCCGAGATGCAAGGATCATGAGGCGGACACGAATAGATACGTTCTCTCCTCCGTATCCTCCTCTGAATGCTAGAAGAATCTTAAGAAAAAGGTATCCCCTCAAAATTATCGTCTTTTTACATCCCTTCGCGGACAGCCTATATATGTATCTCAGGATCGAGCGGCGAAAGAAGGATTTGTGCCATAATCGAGAAAAGAGGATAATTCGTCTCCAAGAGGATGAGGTTACGATCGTAGGGAAGCGGGACGGGCGGGACGGGCGGGAAGGGGTCGACGAGAGATGGAGGACGTTACCATCGCGGCCTCCGAAGAGAACGTCGATAGACCGTAATTTTATTGCCGAAGTTACGGTGGCCCCAAAGTTCACTTCAGCAAACATAAAGGAAGCGGAATACAACACAATTGGAAACTGTCTGCTGTCACTGATCTCCGCGGGTATCTCCTTGCACCCATTTCCTCCGGATCCCTCCCCCTCTTCTCCTTCAAAGAAAGAAGAAAGAAAAACGAGATCGGACGTTAACTGCCGGTTAACTTTTGCATCGGCGTTTAATAGTTTGTGCTTCGCACTTAAACGCAGCCCTTTTCAGCCCTATTTTTTTTTAGCTTAATTGTCAAAGACATAAAATTGTTATCTCTACTGTAAAGTGTCGCTCACGAAAGAGAATTTTAAACGTCGCAGTGTTTGTTTGATGTACGAGAATCTGACGCATTGATTGTTGAAAGATCAGGAACAAGGATGTAAAAACGATAAAGATATATTCAAAGTTAGATAAAAGTTTCACACAGAGAAAGAATACGAGATATTATAAAAAAATATAAAATTACTTGTTTTCTAAAGATGCTTCTAATATTCGTTTACCTAACTCGTCCTAAACTCTATATGTTTATTGATATATAATACGTTAGCGATGTTTAAAAGGATTAACGGGAAACAGCTGCTAAATGCGATCATCGTTGCTCGACTCTCGCGAGATTCTCCTTTTCCAACCGCTTTTCAGAACTTTCGGCAAAGGGAAAGCATTTCTCACGAACGCAAAGTTTCCAAGCGTCGTGCGTAACGCACTTTACGTGGATACGAGTACTGTGAATAACGTTCTTCTCCACCCTTGCGCGCGGCCGGGCCGGCAAGAAATTTCCGAGTGGAACGGCACGTCGAAGGTTTCACATTTCCATGGCGAGTTCTGAGCAGCGCTGCGAAACCAGTAATTTCATTATCGAACTTCTCGCCTCTCTTTTACGCCGAAGTTCCCCGGGATCTCTGTAAGCTTCGTAAAGACGAAGTAACGCAGATTGAAAGCTACCCTACTATAAGCGGGCAGAATTTATCGACCGTTAAATAATAGAGGGGGTTAATTTTCGAGTGTAGCCGAAAAGTATACTGCAGACGAAGTTTGTAATAAGAGATGTTAAGTATAAGTTACTATAATAAAATGCTTATTCGTGCAATATAATATGCTTGCACTATTTATTATCTGTTCGTGTTGAAAAACATGTTTATTTTAAATTCTTCTTGAATAAGAAACGTATAAATTGCCCAACTCGGGATGTATAGCATTAAATGCGTATAATTATCAATTAATTCTTAAACAAGTTGCGCATAATTGTTGCCCTCTTTTTTTCTTTTTTTCGTCCTATCCGCTCCAGCTAGAATCAAATTTTTTCTCTCTCCGCGTAAGCCGACACCTCATTAACATACTTACAGTGCTGCGTTAATTATGGCTCCGTATTTACGAAAGTACATGCACTCGCGGAAACCAACATTGTGTTTTCGCCTGCAGTCCACAAGTCGCAAATCATGCAAACGATATTTCTACACGAATTACAGCGTTTGAGTAAATATTGAGAATGAAATTTTAAAAATGTAACAAAAATTACATTGTAATAAACTGATTTACTTTCTGTCTGTAATCATTTTTGCTTCTCGTAATATTTTCTAATTTATGTTCTATTCAACTCTGTTCTATATTTAATTATTTATTATTCGGTTATTAAAATACTTAATTTTTTAATACTAAAAGCATTATCGTGATTACTGATAAAACTTCTTGAAATTCCTTGAATTATTTAAAATACAAATAATCCAAAAAATATTTTCCACGATGCATAATATTTAGAATATTGTAGTATGTACTAAATGTACTAAATGTATGTATTAAAATTCATTCCTTTTAATTCAGTTATTTTACTGATAAACAGAAGTCGGCTAGTTTAAATGCATCAAATTAATATTCAGTTTTCTTAATGGAGATTTATCATACATACTATGAAGAAAATATTGTAGTAAAGATTATTATAATATTTTTGTTATTCTCTGACGTTGTGACGAAAATTAAGATAGTTTTATTTAAAAGTATCACGTATGTTTTATGTATCTTACAAAAGAATTATCGTATTTATTATATTATTGTAATAATTATAATATTTTCACGTACATTTATTATTATTTCAACGTATATTTAAAATTATTAAAAAAAAAAATGTACGAATGCAGTTGCTTTTATACAAATTGTTTATTTATTATGTTTGTAATAAAAATAAAAATATCAATATAAAAATTTTTTAAATATGACGAAAATATTGGGTATAGCCAATATAAGCATTGTTACAAACATTGTTATTTTATATATGTACGTATGTCGATAATACAATTAAAAATATTTAAATAAAATAAAATTTTTTACAGTATGCATTGCAATTTTATTAATTAATTGTAATCTTATTAATAAAAAAAAATATATAATTAATATAATAATAAATCGTCATAACAATAAATATTATAATCGTTATGCTTCAGCGTTAAAACAAAATGTTATAAAAATATATATTTTTGATATAATTTATACTACATTTTCCACGTGACTCATGAAAAAATCACATCCATTATTACGTCATGAATACTAATAATAATTAAATAATTAAGATTATTTTAGATGGAGTTGTTCATTAATTCAATTCTACATTTGCTCGCAAATGTGGCTCCTTGAATCTTTCTTCTGTAATGTCACTTAAAAAGATGTAGTAAAATAAATGTGTAACAATATAGTATAATCTAATATTACGAAAGAGAGAGAGAGAGAGAGAGAAAGTAGCTACGAAGTATTGAATAATATATCACAACGGAGTGTAAAACTTTGTTAAAGTTACGAGTTCGAATCGGCAGGGCAAATTGATGAAAATGATAAAAACGATTACGGACGATTTATGTATGTTACTTTTATCGACATAGTAAATTGCGACAAACAGATGATAGATAACTGTTAAAATGATCGGTGTACTCATTGACTTGCCCATCATCGATCATTGTCGCATATTGAAATATAATGACGTTCAAATGTACACAACTCTCACGCTGACTCACGCATAGAATGGACATCCCTATAAATTAACGTCACTCTTTTCATCCGGTAATTCGATGATCAATTCGAAATCGATGTATTCACAGCAAACTTATATAAGTTAATGACGTCTTGATGAAAGATAAGAACTTGTGTTCTTGCTTAAAAATTCTTGGTAGAAAAAAAATAACAGTGTTTCTTGGATATTTTGTATAAAACAATTTTGAATACACGATATTGTTTCTCGAAGTTCTGAGAACCGGTCTGTGCCCCGATAGATAGCACCGTAAACACGGGCGAATTTTGTCGACGATATTCATAATTTATGTGAGTGGAAGGTGGTATACCTAAGCCGTGTACTACACATAACGAGAAACATACTGAATAATTTAGCATTAACAAACAATTGTCGTTAAGAAAGTTAATTATGTAAAGGATATTAAGGTAAGAACATTTGTTATCTCGTTTTAAATATATTGTTTAGCAAAAAGGAAATTTCAGGAAATTTGTTTTAACTCTTTCACGAATAGATATTACATAAAGAAACATAAATGTGTATACGCAAACATACACACATATGTATGTACATATGAAGGAAAAGTTTTAAGAAATTGTTATCTCGGAAATGACTCGAATGGCAGTGTAGCCTCGGAATATTAGAGTGGTTTATTTGTGGAGTAAACGTTGGTTCGACATTGAAGCTAATATACAGCAGCATTATGACATATACAATCAACATGGTAACTTTCGCCCTCAGGCGATGGTGAAAAACTTGGTCAGAGAAATGAAAATAATTTGAACCAGAAATTTATAACTCCGACCGAAAATAGTCATTTCTGGCAAAACCGTGGAGAATGAGAAACAAAGAGCGAACTATTTATTACGCTGAAAAACAATCATCGTTAAAGCAGATATAGCTAAACAGAATAAACATAAAACCGATAAAGATAATAGGTACATTCAAGCGGCTTCCAACGGCTTCCAAGTTTCAGTCGAAGCTAAAATACTCGATATCACACAATGAATAAATTAATGGAAAGAGCCAGTTAAATATCAGGGGAGAGAGAGAGAGAGAAAATGAGAAGAGAGAATAAAAAAGCAGGAAAGAGTTAAAAGACAAGGTGAGATAGGGAGAAAAACTGTGTGGGATGCACTGCCATGTGCTGTCGCAGCTCTTTCGCGAGTTGCCGCCTCGATTACGCGTGAATTTTCAGCTCCATCGTTGCACAATTTACGCGAACATGCGTGCAGCGGGTCGGTGAATTCCAGGTGAGAGATTTCAAAAGACAGTTGTGTGCTTTCACATGTTCATATAAATGTGTCACTCGGCACAGACACATCCACCACGTATTTCTAACTGTACAGCGCAAAAGGAACAAGGCATAAAAATTTCAGATAGAAATTATAGTACGATAAAACTTGTGCGGTAAAACGGATATTTAAATGAAACGGTTTACTAAGAATTTTAAATGAAAAATGTTATTTCAAATTGATTAAATAAATCGCGAATCTTTCAAATATCCCTCAATTATTATCCTTTATCTTTTATAGTGGATCGTAACTGCTAACACAATATTTTGCGCAAAGATCATCGAGATACAAATTATCATTCTAGCGATATAATCGATTCGCTCGTAAGCTAGGCACGGGGGCTCACATGTACATACGTGGGGTGTGCGCGCGCGAGGAATGAAAACCTGTGATGTTTAAGCGAAACTAATATTAGAGCGATTGCACCCACGTAGTTAATAGAACCTCGGTTTCATCGGTTTCATCCCCGGGATAATGAAGCACAGCAAGAGCGAAGCGCCAACAGTGTGGCGTCGATTGCATCATCGGGTTCGAACGAGAAATTGCCATCACGCATTTCCCCGAGTATTCAATTCCTCGAATAATGTTTTAAAATAGTAGCATCTTGAGCAGCACAAATTTGTCAAATTTGCCCGAGTTGAAAGCTCGATATTATTTTCGAGATAATTACAAGAATTTATTATTAAATAAATCTATGACACACACATTGAAGAATATACGAAGTCAAAATTTTAAAAATGTGGGTACATATAACAAAAAAGTTTTAAGCAAAAATAATAAATGACAATTTCTAATATATTTATACGTTTATACAATTAATCCGATCTGATAGAGTATTGTTCGTTTGAAAAAAAAAGTCATTTTAACTTACAGGGGATTAAAAGAACCATATGGGAATTGATGCGAGTTCATCTCTGGACGAGTGTCGCGCGCCTCTGAAATCGAATTCGCAGAGAATTTCTGCCAAAACTGGAAAGACCGTCATTGGATTCGCCGAAACGTCGATAGTTTTCGTCGACGTGACATCGCCGCGAACGAATCAACGAATCCTGATTTCTCTCGTCCGAATTATACTAGAGGGATGCAATCAAAACCGGCGATCGCGACCCCCGGAGGCTTCTTCATTATTCGCGGACATTGAAGCGGCCCTCTCCCGCTCGTGTCGGCATTGTTTGCGCAACAATCACGCTAACCGAATTATCCTGATCACATCGGGGGCGCGCGCGTTCAAACACGCGCCACCTCTTCGGCCCTTTCCCACCTCCCATCGCCTCCCTTATACCACCTACCTCACCTGTAATTGATTGGGATTTTATTTGCACGATCCAATGCTGATACCGATAAAAAATGAGGAATAAGCCCGACCTCCTTTCGCCCTCCGTTCGAGGACGCCTTCAAAAGGGTGCTTCAGTCCGCTTTTGACCGCTAGGAGTGACCATAAGGATGTATTTATCTTGCCGGTGTTAAGTGCCATAGATTCCATCCAAATGAAAGTGAGCAAAGAAATTGTTTCGTTTAATTTCTATTTTCTAGCCTCTCAATTTACTGATTTATTTATCTCTCAGATCCCTTAGGGAATCCCTCGAGGAATTGAATTTTCGAGTTTTAGGATCTTAGTTTCTATTAAATCCTTTGGATTTGTATCAGACATGAAATCTGGCAAAAAGAAATTAAGGAAATTGATGAAAGTCTCGAGAAATGGGATCGCAAGAATCAGGCTCCGTGGAAACAAAGACCGAGGCAAATACTTCAACATGATCTTACAAGGGTTGAATTACTTTTGCACGCATACGAGTCTTCACGGTCTTCGATACGTCGTCGATCCCGAATTACACGTAATCGGGCGATTCCTGTGGTTCGTCGTGTTTGTAATATCTTCCACAATCGCCAGCAACGTGATTTACTCGTTGGCGCACAGATTCCAGGTAAATCGTGTGTATGAGAAGAAAGGCGTTAATTTTGATGCAGTCGTATATACAATCTATTAATCTGCCAAACATTTGGCCCATTGTTCGTTTCTGTTTTCGGCGGATATTAAAAGTTATGTTAAAGGTCGATGGTACATAGAGAACGATTTATATCAGACTTTAAAGTATCGACGCGTAAATTTATTTAGGCCGCGCCGACGTCGATCGGCATCGAATCGATGCATTACGAGACGTCGAATCTACCCTTCCCGAGCGTGACCCTTTGTCCAAATGACCGTGTCGACTGGAGTCGCGCCCTCGAGCTCGAGCCGAGGATTTTCTCTAACGTTACCGACGAGGCAAGTGTCGAAACTTTTCGGAAAATACTGGGCAAGCTTTCCGTGATGAGCTTCGGGGATTTCGACGAGCTGGATTTTCTGAAGAAGCAGAATGTTCGTAGTCTCGCGGGTAGGACATCTTATATCCTCCTAAACTTTTTCCAACGCGAGCGTAAATATATTATAACGATCTTGGACGTTTCTGATTCCATCTTCAATACCTACCAGAGACAAGACACACCGATGTCTTGTGAGATATCGGTAGTTAATGCGCAAATTTCGATAACATTGTTTATATATAAATCAATCAATCTTTATTTACTTCAGCTTATTGCCAAGAAGCGGACTTGGTTTACAAAAATTACTTGATCCACTCATACCATCCATGTCCATACCAATCATCGTACTTACTATCATCTATTCTTCCTTACTCTCTAGTCTCTTTTTCTTTTTCCACAATTTCTTTAACACATTCCCTTTAACGCTATCCAATTCATCATTCCATTATCTTTCTAATTTTTCTCTCTTATTTCTATCTAACTCCGTAAACCAATCTTTGGTCATATCACCTCATATTTCTCTACATAATGACTAATACAATCCCTTCATCCTTGTACCCAGACCACACATAGCATTTCATCAACTTGTTTAAATCGAGATCTTATCTCGAGCATTTTAAATGCATGTGTGCGTTTCTCTCGCTGGAGCTGAAGAATAATCATTATCGGACAGGTATCAACATCACTCAAGTGCTGCACGAGGTAATGCCACGCTGCGACCAATTGCTGTCCGCCTGCTGGTGGCGCAACGCCAATCGCAATTGCTGCGAGATCTTCGAGGTGCAGAAGACCGAATACGGTTTCTGTTACTCGTTCAATTCTGAAGTGGCGCAGACAGCACCGGCGAATCTCACGGAATCGCGGCCACGAAGAGCGTCGGGCTACGGCGATTGGAGCGGCGTCAAGGTTACGATTCATCTGGGAAACATATCGAAGCCACCAAATTCCGGTAAGGGCAATGCTGGTATGTAATATTCTACGTGGCGAGGCGTAACGATCTACGAAGAATCGATGTTATCGCGCACCCAGCGATGAAGCAAAAAGATGCTTCGCTCTAATATACTCATTTCACAAAAAAATATAATTATCTTGAATAAATTGTATTGAGAATCTAGAAATCGCGTGCGGTGACCAAGTGTTGATTTTCTAGTCGCGCTGCTGGTTATTGCCGTATTATTTTGAAAAATTCAGAGCTTGATCAATTCGAAATTGAACAGCTTCTCAGCAAAGTCGCCTCGGTCCGAAAGTAAAAATTCTTCCAATGTAATATTTTGTCAATAATATAAAACAATGACTGCATTCCGATATACTACGGGATTGATAGGATTGTAGATTTATTATTCTATCAGTAATATCATTATCTTTGCATCCCCTTCAAGGAGTCTAGGCTTTCATTTTCGCAAGTACATTTCTGATTAATATATTTCTGATTTCTTTTAATATATAATCCTGTATTAGCATTTTTAGGCAACTTGTGTGTACAATTTCAATTTAGATCGTCATTGCATTGTTTGTTGTTGCAATATTTGGACAAAGGAACATAAACGCATTATTTGAATAAACATTTAGCGTAAATCCAAACTCGGGGGCCGAGGGAGAAGAGAGGAACCGTATAATGGCAAACAAAATGTAAACTCGGGTAAACCGTATGACGGATTAATAACTAATGCTATTTCTGTTATCCGTTAAATGACGAAGTATACATCAACGACACGTCGTTACTAATCCACCGTTATGCAAACCGCGCCGCGCGCGGGAGTCTCGCAAATATGATTTTAATATCCTCGCGAAAGCCGCCGACCGCTCGAGGATGTATTTTGAATAGGACGCGACTTCCATTCTGCCGTAATGTCGCTCCTTTTATTACCCGATGCGAAATGGAAAGGGATTTATCGTAAACTGCAAAATCGATATATCGGCGCCGTATTGCGCGCGGCAGTTATTGAAATGTCGCCTTCAAAGAACTTCACGGTCCCGTCCGCGCTATACCGGGGTTCTAAGCCGCTCTGACCGGATCTACGTCAGAACCGGATCGACGAAAGAGAGGATTTTCAGCGTGAAAAGTTAAAAAATTGTATCTCCGCAGATATATCATTAACCTTAATACCCAATTGTTATATAGAGGAGATTGATGGCGTCTTGGTGATAATAAACGAGCCCCGGGTCTGGCCCAACAGCGGCACCATGATACCGTCGGGCTCGCTGGTCAGCGTGTCCTTGGAATGCGTTTCCGGCCATGCCACTCAGCGAGTCCTCGAGCTGGACAAGGACAAGCAACCGTGCCAATACGACGAGGCCGGCATGTACAAGCAGGAGACCTGCCTATCGCTCTGCAAACGTTACTGGGTCGCCAAGTATTGCCGCTGCAACCCGTCCTTTCTGTTTCCCGCAAGTACGATATCTTTCAGCGGAGACAACGCGACGACGACTTCGTTAACGGTTTTTTTTGTTTCACGCGTGTGTTTCAGCCGCCCACTTCCGCGACTGCACCATCGAGGATTTCATCTGCCTGATCGATTACAACGGTGAGCGAGATTCCTTATCTATGGGAATTTCATTTACTTGACTCGCGAATGTATTTTAAATATAATTAGCCGGATATGAATGTAACTTGCTTTTGCGAAACGGCTGGATGGCGACGCAAGATGTGTTCAACGACTACATCGTTCACTTTGGCGGCGAGTACCCGCACGGCATTCCAAGCATGATTTGCAACTGCTTACCGGAATGCGACTACTACGTCTACAGTACCCAGTTTTCTAACGTGCCGCTACATAACATGAATGACATTATGCTGGACGTGCATTTCATAGGGCAAACTAGTTTTCGTTACAAAACGGACATAGTTTTCACACAAATGGATCTCCTCGGTGAGTTCTCTGCATTTTTTACAAAATATACGCGCCTATTACATATTTTATATTTTCGTCTGAAAGCCCCTCGTAGTATGAAAAACGATAAATAAATAAACTCTAAAGCTAGTTCTTTATCTAACATCCTTAGTTTAAGAGAAATATCAGATCTCATATTTCTAATTAGCTTAAGATTTTATTCCGAAAAAAATAGTATCATTAATTATAATTACCACGTCGGGTTTGAGAAATTTATAGAGACGAGACGAGAGAAGCGGAAGCGGAAAAAACGTTCGTAAAATGTCACTTTATTCAAATTCGCTTTCGGAGATTTGCGAGGAACTTTAATTTGCGGCACCTTAATTATTTCCCTATCTCTATTAGCCGCTCCGCGGCGGTTTTCCCGTGTATAATGAGTCCCGCGAGATACTAAGTTACGAATTCATGGTGCCCTCATGCCTCTTGCTCAAAATGTTTACGTCGCAAACGACTATCTTGGATATTATTCGTGATCTTATCGTAAGAAAGTAAAGTGTCTAGCCACGAAAGATGTATAAAACTGCATGTGGGTGTGTGTGTGTGTGTAAAAGTTACACGAAAGATGTCTAATGTTATACGTTTTACGTGTGTAAAATTTTGCCTAGCTTAACATCGCGTCGCGGAAATTAAAGCCAACACGTAAATCACCGCTTAGAAACAACCCGCTTCGATTTCGCTTAAACGTCATCCGTGTCCCAATATCACCAAATGTTTTGCCACGATCATCATATTAATAACTCGAAGCCCTAAAGCGATTTGCATATACTTCCTCGCAGTGTCTTTCGGCGGCATAATCGGCTTGTTCCTGGGCGGCTCGCTGCTCAGCGCCGTCGAGCTGGTTTATTATCTGGCGGTGGCGGTATTCTCGTCTCTACGCTCACGACAGAGGAGAACCGAAGGAGAGCGCGGAAGAGCCCGACGATCGAGCGTGACGCACGTCCACGCAGCGGCGATGCTGCCCATCCTGGATTACAACCCTCTGAAACCGCCGGCGAGGAGGATACCGATTTTCCCGAATTACGGCCTCGCAGAATTGAATTTGAACAGATATTGAATTACCGTGAAGTTTTTCGATACGCGGGCGGGGAGGTGGTCTCTATCATAGCCGAGCCACCGCGAAATTTGAGAAGGTAAAATAAGAGAGGAGGTTTATCTATATACTCTTTCTCTTTGAATCGATATTCGTCGAAATGTGGACGCGTATGCATGCGCGAGCGCGCACGTGTCTACGTATATTCCGCTAATGGAATTCTGTATTTTTCCAAAAGTCGCGAGGAGAACAAACAAAATTTTTCAGAACAGGAGCCCCAGCTATTCCCATTCCTAAATCGTCCGGAATCGAGAGTACTGTCTGTTAGAATAAACGGGTTCCGTCCTGTTCTTCATAGACATGTTGGTTATTGTGTTTTACCGTGGGAGGCTATTCCCATAAATCAGGAAGTAGCTGCGATATTGATCGGATTTGACAAGGAAATCGAGAATGCCTTGCTCACGCGAAATCTGGTATCTACCTTCTAAAACCCATGTTCCTGCGCGCATTTGTGTGTGTGTGTGTGTGTGTGTGTGTGTGTGTGTGTGTATATATGCGTATCAAAGAGAGGAAGAGAGGGAGAGAGGGAGAAAGAGAAAGAGAGAGAGAGAGAGAAAGCGCAGCTCATATTTTATTCAACGTTATATATGATACGTACCTTCCATCTTGCCACTTTGCGGCCGCGTAATGCTTGACTTCAATAATACACGCCATACATTTTACATGCATGTCAAGCGACTTTCTTGATGCTTTTTCGAGATGGACTAGCGAGCCGAACAATTGTGTAACGAGTATTTACTCGTTATTCGAGAAAGATACCACTAATAGCTTTAACGAGAAAGTTGCAATGTGTATGGAGGAAAAATAAAGTAAAGAATATCTCTAAAGAAGAAAATGTAAAGGCAATTGTTGAATACAAAGACGGCTTGTTGCGATAAATTAATTAAATTTCAACAAATTAATGGCTCGTGCGTTAGATTCATATTAAGGTCTTTTAAACAGTGACGGAAAATGTAAATGCAGCCAGACGGCGAATTATTTACGTTATATCCTCCACAGCGGACATACAATTAGAGGATCGCTAAGTAAGTTAATATAAAATGAATGTGTTTTATTTAGCTTGGATTTTATTTTTACTCTTTAAAACGGCAGAAACAGAAACATGAATTAATTTTCTTACAATTTTGGGCTTTTTGTTTAAAAATACTTTTATCCTCCTCCTCCTCTTTATAAAGTAGGCTTGAAAAAAGCTGAGTGCAGTTCAAATTTAGTTAAGAAACATGAGAATACGGGATATATAAGTGTAATCCTGAAATTTTTACGTATTATTCAGTTTTCAGGTTTGTGAAATACTGTTAGTTAATAGTCTATTATGTAAGAATAAAATGTTTTTTAACAGTTGCCGTTGCATGTGAAAATACCACAATGTCATATATGTATGCGTATTAATAATTACATAATTATGAATCAATTAAACATTTAATTATATTTTGTATAACGAATATTGAATGCGAGGTCAATATTAGATATTAAATTAAATTAATCAAAAATTTTCCAATTAAATATTAGCAATTTAACTGCTGATAAAAGACACAAAAACAAAATTTACTGTATACCTATGCTGTAAGTAAGAACAGCCCAGCAAAATAAATATGTAATTATGCACTTTTAAATTGCAGTTTTACATTTAAGTTTTAAATTAATTCAAATGTAAAATTGCTCAAATTAAGCTAATTTAACGTTTAATCGTGAAAAATAAATCCTAAATTAACTTTAAACAGGATGAAACTCTTCCCTTGATGGAAAAAAAGTGCGATAAAATCCGAGAATTCTACATGTATACTTTCCAGTTATCGTCGTTTCACATCGCAAAAATGCTTGTGTCGACAAAATACGGTCACAAGCGTGCAATCGCGGAATTTTAGATGATCGTTGAAATGTATGAATAACGGGAATAAATCGCGCAGATGGCCGCATATTCGGTGCACTCAGTAAATTGCCGGTCGCGGTTCACGCCATTTGTGAGAGACGTTGCAATGTACGCAAATAATGCACAAAGATCCGTCTTGAAACCTCAACTTACACTCGCGAGACGCGATACTGTTATCGATGTTATATTATCGGTGCGTTATATAACGACATTATTACCGTATACGTATCCCGACAGCTATTTTCCGTCTATCTCGAGAGGAAAAATTCGGCGTCGGGAAGTTGCGTCGGGAAAAAAATAGCGGGCTCGTCGTTACTAAGGACGCAGTTATATCTCGCGGCGTGGCGATTTTTCGAGCAACGACGGGGCCGGATTTTTCCCTTCAGACAGCGCTCGTTTTCACGCTATTGAAAATAACCGGGTGCACTTAAAGCAGCAGATAAGACACGCGCATCCCATTTTTCCATTTTTCCGCGACACGCGGGAAAACGCTTTAGAGCGCGCGCGGTTGAGCCGGAAGTAAATGTACCAGCCGTCTGGCCAGGCTCCATTTGGCCATTTATTATTTATGAGAAGGATAGAAGAAGAGAGAGTGAGAGAGAGGGACGGGGTGGAAGGAGAGGCGAGAAGTTGCGCTGGCCGTCCGACCAACAACATCAACCATCCGGGAAAAAAATCCCTTTTCTCGCGCTTTATCTCTTTTTAGAAGCGCCGTCCGCCGAGATTCATCCACTGTGAAAGGGAGATACTTGACGGGAGGATATGTCCCTCTAGTCCCTTCCTTTTTTCTACTGCGTTTTAAAAGCATCCGTCGCGGATTGAGCCAGCGTAGCTTATTATAAACTGCACTGCTGCAGCTGCGACGTCGTATACATATGACTATGTCAACTGAAACAGTCAAACTCTTTCTTTGAATGGATAACAATGTTGTCCCACTCTCTAAATCTCATAAAGTTTCGCCACTAATATATTAGAATGATTGCGATAGTCGCTACAAAAAAAAGAATTGTCACTTTAATTTGAGTAAATGCGGGCACTCATAAGGTAGAAGTGAATTTTTCACTTAAATTTTTAAAGCGGCTACTCTACCGGAGTGATACGATCTCATTCTAAAGCTATAGTGAATCACGAGTCGCTAAAGATCGACTGATAAATGAATCTAACAGAGCAAAATTTTCCACTCAAAATCGTAGAGCGACATAACTCACTTTTACAGGCACTGATCTACTACACTCGAAGAGAGTGCCCTTTCACTCAAATGGAGTACGATTTCACTCCAACTTATAGAGCGCAATTTTACTCTCTCTTAGAGTGGCGGATCACTCGAACTGTCAATTTTCACTTTTCGTTACACTTGAATTTCACTCGTTTTGAATGATATTTCACTCTCTTCGACTTTTAGAGGAGTATATATACACATATAAAAGTCTACCTATAAAGAAATTGAAATTCGCGAGCGGTCATTTTAACCACTTCAGTCTTTCTAGTGGTAAACTCCTGCGGATATTGCTCGCAGGATCTGCTGCGGGCAGACCAAAGATCTACGGTTGAACAGAAGCAGATAGAAAAACGAAGTAGCCGGGGAGAGAAAAGGGAAAGCTTGGAAGTGCAAGCAAAGAGAAAGGGGGAAAAGGAGGGCGATTGCTGGTGGCGGGACGGTTCACTGCTGCTCGAAAGGACGGCGAAGTGGGTAAAGGCCGAGAGCGCGGAAGAAGAGGAAGAAGAAAAGGAAGGAAAACAGACGGGGAAGAAGCAGGAGGAAGCAGAAAAACCGATCGTTGTCAGGGAAACGAAGGAAATCTGCATTTTGTCAAACTGTCGCTTGGAAGTTCGCGGGCGCGTCCGGAGCACGGGAGGGTGAAAGGTGAGGGTGGAAGGACGCGGAAAAGGGGGGGCGGCAAAGGGGGGAATGAGGGTGGTGGTGAGGGATCGTCGAGTGGCGCGGGAATGGAAAAAGGACGAGCAACGCGGCGCGGCCTGGCCCCGAAGAAGGAAGCGGCGAAGTTTCGAGTAACTCTCCGGCGTGCTGTTATCTAAACCCTTCACGTAGGCGTCTCGAGTGGATCGAGGTCGAAGGCTCGCTCCTTGCCGGGAATATCGGTGTATTACTTTCGATAGGAATCCCACAGACGGTAACTCGCCCCCGCCTAATTGACAGCTAAGCATTGTCCTGATCCTGCCGTGAATATATATAAGAGCCGTAAAAGGAATTGAGATAATCTACGAATGTTCTTTCCATGGAAAAATCTATTGTTTAAATAAAAACGGTATATCGGAACGCGTATTGATTTTCGAACGTCGCGATTAACCTTTTTTTTTTTTAATAATCCGGCGCAATGTAATAAATGATGATTGAATTTGATATTTATATATATAACTTCGTGTATCGATATCTGTATGTCAATTAAAAATCATCCCGGTATTAATATCGCTATCATATAAAGCGGCCGCGTCTAAATTACAATTAATTATATTACATTAATGATCTTATTTAACATAAATTATAATAACGACTATACTATATCAATAACGTAATATAAAACCATTTTTACTTTTATATTATATTAAATCAAACTCAAGCGGTCACATTTAGCAACGAATGCGCCTTTTGAAATGAACGTTCTGATATCATTCGCGACATCACCCTCCAGAAGAATGGGCTCATTACGATAAATGCGACGTCGATGACTGTTAAGGAGGACAGGGCTGCACTTTCAGCCGCGTCTGCTCTTCGGCCCCGATAAATTAAATCTTTCCTTCGACCTGCGTACACTCTCTCTTTGTCCCTTCACTTCGGAAAGGGGGAGAACTCCGATGTGGCGATGGGGAAGAGGCATCGCGCTTGCTTGGCTGCTTTCTTGGTAATCTTGAAATAGGGTACAGCAGTACGAGCGTTGGTCGCCTGCCAAGCGACTTTAAGCTTCCTTCCTTTCCGAGGATTGGAAATATCTTTGTCGACGTGCGCCGTAAGGATCACGGTAACGGAAAGCAGGGAGCACTCGTCGAAAATGCGAAACATGGCGCACCAATATCAAATGCACAAAAAGTACGACGAATGTTTGAGATTATGCGATCTACGTCTCGCAGATTTTCGTCCGGGAAAAATTTTCTTTTAATGTTATGAAAAGTCTAAAAGCCTGTATAGGAAAGAGAACGCCGAATGCAAAATTAAAATGGATTGATATTATAACCGGACTCAGACAGCACCGTGTCCAAAATCGGGACGTAAGACGTCTTAAAGAAGTCTTAAAAACGTCTTAAAGACGTCTTTAAGACATCTTACGTCCCGATTTTGAACATGCGTGCTGTCTAAGGAGACAACGACATGCCTTTCAGTTAAATGTAAATGTGTGTATGTATCTCAAATCTATCTGAAAAATTCTCTGAAATAGCTCGAGCTATCATCGCGCTCGTGAGTCGATATCGCCGACGTATGTATTCTCGACAGAAACGACGAGACATTTTACGAAACTACCTCTTTCGCTCTCTCTCGCGCGATCTTTCGAATGCGTTTCCTCGAAAATGGAAATATGGCCTTCGAGCGTCGTCGTCGTCGTCGTCGTCGTCGGCTTTAGAGCCGGCGTCGCAGTTAAA